CGAGTCCACACCTCAGAGGTGGGACAAAGTCATTGTTATGCAAGTCCAAGTCGAGTCTCAAGTCATCAAATTCATGACTCGAGTCTGACTCGAGTCCAAGTCACATGACTCGAGTCCACACCTCAGAGGTGGGACAAAGTCATTGTTATGCAAGTCCAAGTCGAGTCTCAAGTCATCAAATTCATGACTCGAGTCTGACTCGAGTCCAAGTCACATGACTCGAGTCCACACCTCTGGTGGCCGGAAATCGAACTCAGCTCGATGGGGTTCAGAGTAAAAGTTCGATGTTGGTTCCTCGACAAATAATTGAGCAATGCTGCGTTGGCGGTGGCGCACAATTATCAACAACAACAACAAGAAACTCTAACACACTCATCGGCCACACTCGCCCCCTTAAAAGAAACGAACATACAATCGGAGACGTTTTGGGCCAAGTGTTTGAACCTACTTGACAGCATGCACGCGCAGCACCAAAGGTAACACATTCGCAGATATGTACATCAGATATGAAAACTATTGATAACAAAGACGGAAGCTACGTGACAAGACACATTCTTTTGACAGTCGCGAACTCGAGGATGGATTGTCACTGCATTGCCCGTTTCCCTTCGTAAGCGTCACAATGAATCGACACGAAAGGGGCCCTTTCAGACGCGCTCCGCTGCTGTACCACCACAGACCCGTCGCTCTCTGTGCCTTGACGAACCGTTATTTTGGCTGTCAAAACTACGGTTAGTAGCAGTAAAAATAATTTACACTCTTGATTTGAGGCTTTCGTGACTGCAGGAATCCATACTCTTTGGTTCTTTCGGTAAAGTCACGTAGGTAGAAAAAATTAAAAAATAAAAATAATAAAAAATATTATTTTAAATTTTATTTTAAAGTCACGTAGGTAGAAAAAAAAATAAAGATAATTTATTTATTTATTTTTCTACCTAACTGACTATAATATTTTTTATTATTTTTTATTTAATTTTTCTACCTACGTGACTTTACCGAAAGAACCAAAGAGTAATAATGAACACTTATAAAGCGCGTTTCACCCAGACACTGCAAGGCGCCGCACAGAGGCTTCGTTGACCAGAGTTCCTCTTTAAAAAAAAAATGCATAGTTGCCCTCGTGACCTTCGGGCCCGAATCGCCGACCTCTCCCCCTTAAATCAGCGTAAAGCGTCCACATAAACGACGCCGCCGCAGTCGTAAAAAGCCGAAACGCAACGTTCTGCGTAACACTCGGTACCACCTTGCCAATGGAGACATCGCACTGAATGCACCGGATCTCGTGAGATCCCAAAAGCCAAGGATGTTTAAGGTTTTTTTTAGTTTTTAACTTAGATTGGAGACTGACTGTCTGGGCAATACCGGGTGTTGTCGGCTTTGGTCTGCACAAATGGCTAGGGGATGGCAGTACTCCCCTTTCGTGTTTAGTCGCTTTTCTCTGGGCACTCCGGTTTCCTCAGAGATGATGATGCCACACACTCGTGAGTGAGATTGGTCAAAACCATCCCCAATGCAGGACCCTACTTGAGAAGAAAACAAAGTCTTGAGAATGAGTGAGGATGTCCGGAGTAAATAACAAAAATGTTCCCGAGTAAACTCTCCACGTTTAAAAATGTCAGTGACTTCCGTTCTCAGAATGCATGTTGGGCAGGTCATTCCCTCCCTTGACACCCACTGTTTACGTCCCATAACATTTATCACCTCCCCATAGGGATGATGGGCTGAGTCGAGCATCGCCTGCAATTTGAGACTTCCTTGGCTAAATAAATTGCATTATGGCCACGAAGAGATATCAACAGTGATTGTGAATAAAGAAAGCTGAATTTCCACTATTGACTCACTTTCCCGTAACAATGCTGAGCACGTACATGTACATATGTACGGCACTTTTATCTATCACCTGCTGGATGGAGGTCACTGCACACCATCCACATAATGGAGATTATAACAACCTCTCCTATAGCATGCTGTTACCCTTCTTCCAGCACAATCCGGCCTCAAGCCCGCTTCGCTTGCAAGATCCGTTCGAGACCGGGTGCGCATTCCGAGTCGATTTGGTCATAGGCGATGCCGAATGTGGGCGGTGGGCACTGCAAAGTCATATTCTGCACGATCCGCTGTGCGCACACAGAGAGAACGGGCTTTCACACTCCTCCACAACCTTGGATTAGGACACACATGACCGCACCTAAACACAGGAGCCACGCTGCCAAGAGCACCACACCCTTGGCCCTGAGATGTGAGCGTGGCTCTCCCCACTCACCCCACCCGCCACAGCGTGGCCCTGAGTGAGGGGTGGGGTGGGGTTGGAGAGGCATGGCCTTGCAGGTGAACCTGCTGCTTCATCCTGAGCTGAGAGGGCCGCGGCATTCCTCGCGCGTTTGAGCCGTCGCAAGAGAACTTCTGGCGATCCGCGTGCGCTCGCGGTGCGCAGAGGGCTCCGTCGTGTTTTACCTCTCGGTTCAGAAGCAACGGACCCCAGCTCGCTCGCGTTGTCTGCATACCACGTGCGACGACTACTGACTGCTACTGTACTACGCCGATTTGAACTCGGGGAAGCCTCGCTAAGTCTCGAGAAATCGTTTGTGCAGGACGGCCCTGCTGCCAGATAGCAATCGCTGGTGATTTGCGGTGGCATCAACGACTTTGAGCACGTGATGACATCTTGATCCTGCTTCTTTGGGTTGTGACGTTTGGCGGTTGGCCAGCCTTGGTTCCAGCACGCCTGACTGCTGATGAGACACATCTGGTCGAGTTTGCTTGCAATGAATAAATGCTGCTGATATTATGCGATCCCAGAAGGCCGTGTGACTGAAAGGATGTGTAAAAAAATGTATGCGGAGAGATGAATTACGTAAAGGAGACGTATTGCCTGCATGTGTATTTTGTTCACTGCGACGTTTGGCTAATTCCATAAACTAGGATTTTGCTTTTGGGAGTGAAATCATCACATGGAGGTAAGATGTAAAGGTGTGCACAGATGCATTTAACAATCCACAGCTGTCTTGTCATCTATAAAACAACTATAAACTATTTTTATTTTAGCAGGTAAGGCCCACTGAACTATACAGCTCTTTTCAGAAGCGACATGGCCACAAATGATAGCTAAACGAAGTGGCTTATCATGTGTACATTTATAGCAGACAAATTGATTCTAAATGTGGAGGGAAAACCGTAAACCCCGGAAAAAATCCACACGACCACAGGGAGAGAAGACATGCAATCTCCAAATATACAGCAGGCGTCAGGGTCGAGGATCGAACTCCCGACCTTCCTGCACACCAGGTGAGGTAGTTAACATCTCGCCACCGTGGCACCCCCATCTCTCGGGACACCTCGCGGCACAAGTGCACGGCACCCGGTGGTGGGCGAGATCGGGCAAAGGTGCGGTGGGAGCTGGAGCGTGGATTGATGGGAGAGACGCGGAGCGGGTTCGGTGTGCATATGAGCAAAATTAAGCTTAACGTTAAGCACCGAGATAAGCCTTTTCTCATGAGCATTCAATCCTCAAAGGGGGTTGAGGGGGGGGCTTAACTTATCAGCACTGTTTGTGTTTAGGAATGCATTGTTTTAGTCCCTTTGTGATCATTATCACATTCATCGTTTTACTTGTTTAGAAACGTTTAAGCCCGAAAGGTGCAGTTTTCGGAGGCAAAGTCAATCTTCATAAACCACTTCCAAAAAGTTAGTTTTTTTAAGTTCCCGAGACCCCTTTCGCTCATTGTCCCTGTTTCCTGGGCTCACATCCTGAAAATCCTTTAAAAATATTCTCAAAAATAGCACCGCCGCATTGTGAAATTCACACAAATTAAAAATACCCCCCCCCCTCCTCCTGCCTCCTTCCAGAAAAAAAAATGTACGTAAACATCGTGTATAAGACAAGGACAATATTCTTGGGTCTTTACCGAAAGACCAAAGCATATTAACTCCTGCAGTCACGAAAGATTTAAGTCAAGATTTACACCAACAATATTATACTCATGCTCACCGGCAGATACTCGTACACACACTGGCAAATGCTGGGTAGTAAACAGATTTATTCGTGCAATCCTTGCTCGTTTTTGCATCGAGTATTTTAGGCGCTATATGTATCTGCACACATCGTAAATGCATTAATTAATTATTTAATCCGGTGAGCTCCCAAGAGACCGGGCAACAGTCGTCCGAATTGACAAGAGTGGAACCCGGCTCACCGAAAACGACAAAAAAGGCTAATCAAAATGTGGCAACGGCAAATGAAACAAATAGAAATCAGCACAAAAACAACTGCGTCGCGTGAGAGAACGTGTAGCGAAGCTTCAGTTTATTCAGTTCGGTATTGTAGGTTCTCGTTCTAAAACCGTCACGAACAGCGCGGTCAATGCTTAGTTTACCAAACTGTGAACAAGTAACTCTTTGGACTCTTCTGATAAAAAAAAGGTGGTAAACATACTTGTGTCTGTTAATACAAGTTAGTTTCATTCCACATTAACAGTGCAATCGTTATTTTCCCTTCCAAGACTCATGCTCACCGGCAGATTTCGTTTAAGCATTAAAGACCACTGGACCGGTGACGACCTTCGTGGTCCTCATCAGCTGTCACGTCTGCGTGGCGTTCACATTCAGGCGAGGGAGTGAACTGACTTTGCGACACGCATTGAGCAAGGCACATGGAGACGTCACAACAAACCGGTGGCTGTGTTTGAACGAGATAGCTACTCAAATAGATTGTGCACACAGCACTGCCCAAGTGCGAACGCAGTGGAATGGCATTCTGCTGTCGATCATTCACATTCTTCTCATAGACATGTAATATTAAAACAATTCTCGTATGCATGCAGTGCCAAGCAATCACTATTTGGAAACTTTTTTTTAAAAAACTAACATTTTTTATGGACCTATCATAAACACACGTCACTCGAGCGCATACTCGTGATTTATAACATCGCAGCCAAGCAGACGACATGCAGCAGTACCGTGCACACACACACACTCACACACGTAGAGTTGCTGCAGGTTACCGGCAGAGTTGAGCGGACTTGTATTCCAGGAGGAAGCCACAAGCACTAGTGTGAGTTGAAGCCTTGGCTTCCAAGCTACCGTGACGAAAAGAAAATCTGGCTTCTGATGTAGTTCCTCACTCAGCTGCTTCTTTTGCGCTCTCCCCTCTCTCTCTCTCGCTCCGCGTGTGTCTCTCTCGCCCCTCCGCAACAGTCGTGTGAAAACTCCCAGCAGAAACACACACAAGCGTGCGAGTTGCATAAGTCTCTGCTGACCCGCCCTGCCCCCCCTCCCACCTCCCACACACCAAGCACACGCCCATCGAGGGCTGCACGTTGCGTCCCAGATTGGCCGAGAGGCAAAGCCGACGAAGTGAACCGAGGTTGAGTCTCCCCTCCCTCGGCACACAGCTGTCAGTCCATCAGTCTCTGCGCGCGGGCGGGCGGGCTGGGTGGGGGGTGGGGGGGGCCCTGGGCTCGCCGATTGATCCACGGCAAGGCCACGAGTTGAAAACGCCCCGACATTCTTTGGTTCTTTCGGTAAAGTCACGTAAAAAGAAAAAATAATAAATTAAAAAAAAATTCTTTATACGTGACTTTACCGAAAGAACCAAAGAATAATTCCTGCAGTCACGAAAGCTCCAAAGTTAAGAACGCCCCGACAGTAGCACGGCGCGGACGGCGCTGGGACACTTTGCAGTCTCGGCTCTTGGACGGTCACCTATTGAACCATTTCAATAATAATAATGATATCTTCTTCCGTGGAGGAAGGAGGAGGGGGGGTTTCCCCAATCATGCCCGGCCCCTGTTCTTTTTTTCTCGGCTTTAAATCAGTGACGGCAGTGGATGTTATTGGGTTGCGATTGTTACTCATACGCGAGCATGACTAAGAACTCCGGTGGATTACTGCGCTGTTTGTTTTATTGCTGTGGCGGATGTACTGCGTAGTTCTCCGATTCGTTTTCGATTTGCGCCGCGCTTAGTTCAGCCCCGGGATGTCCGACGTTTTGGTCCGCGTGCTAGGAGCTTCTTCAGAAACAGAATGTTCCCGAACGTTTCCCGCACGTCCTGTGAGCTTTTTCAGACACGAAGTGCTCCTGAATGTTCCCGAAGAAACGCCCAGGACGTGGAGCGAAACGTCGGACATCATGCCGATGGATATACGGTGCAATTCAAGAGCACGTGGGAGAGATGAACAGCAGTGCTTAGCACTTGCCTGTCTGTGTCTTTGCACACAGTCGAGGTGTCAACAGAGACACGTCTCGCTCCTTTGATCCCCATGTCAACCTCCAAGTGAACTTAGTCGTCCAGGGCAAAACGTTGGGAGGTACTCGGGAGGCCACAACATTTGACGCGTACTGTATTCCACAGCAAGCACAGCTGCCCTCAACAATCGTACACACGCTGCCAATTGGGCACCAAGTGAAGAAAGACCAGCGCTGCAACGGCTCTTGACCGAGCAGTTTTTGATCCAGCTGAAACGTCAAACGTCAACGCGTCTCTCTGCTCGAACGAGTGCTCATCTCTGTAGTTTCCGAGCCAGTGGTGGAAATTGTTACTCGTTCCATTGGCGGCAGAGGGATGATGGCCTTCGTCGACGCAGCTCCGAATATCATAAATCTGGCAAGTGACAATAAAACACGAAATTAAATGTGTCAAGGGGCCACCTTGGCCGGTGTTGCTGATGCCAGCGCATCTTGCCACTGCATCCTCCTGAGACATTCCACGCGGTCGGCTGCAGTGTCCAAGGTTTTGTTTCCCCGCAATCTCACGATCGCCACGGTCTCATGGCTCGGGGCCATCTGCTTGGTCACCAAGTTCTGGGTGCACTCCATTGCCTGTCCTCGGTGACCTGTCCTCCAACATCACTCGTGGACTAGAGCAGCAAATACGTTGTTAAAGATGCTTCAACTCAATTAAAAGGGAGAGAGAATGTAAGCATGTGTGCAAGAACTGAAACAAAACAGATCCAGTTGCGTTTAGATGTTGTATACATGCAAATGTTATGTTGTTGTACGGACGAGATAACTTTTACCAATGACAGAATTATCGATCAAGAGACACTTCCGATGTCATGATCATCATTGGCTATGATCTACCCGGCTGGGTCGGCACTGTCACACAGAGCAATCGATTTGTGATCGTAAGCATGCAAGTTTGAATGTCGTGATTTAATTTAGTTGAAACGTCGTGATTTAATATAGTTGTTTTCATTTATTTTATTTTATTGATTGTTTGACCTACGTGACTTTACCGATAAAACCAAAGAGTAAGTTTGAATGGTCAACCCACTCCATCATCCTCCCAGGGTCGATAAAATTGCTATCACTTTGCGAAAACGTCCACCATGGCCATCGTGCACGGGGGAACTGACCTCCTGCGATGAAATGTGAAATTTCCACTGCCATCTTAGGGCCACCAATGTGAGATGCGCCACTCCAATGCTCGTTTGTACACGGAAGAGACTCTTTGGCTACCGAGGTGTGATGAGCTCATTGACATTCGAATTAAGAACATGTGCTGGCTGGGTCAGAGGAGGAGATGTGGGGCCATAAAGATGGGGATCTATCTCGAACTACGCTAAACACTGCAGAAGACAAATTTATTATTCTCAAGACGCAACAAAATAAAATAAAAGTTCCAATTTGTTCCGTAGAGCTGGGCAGATGCAGTTCGTCATAGGGGCGGCGGAAAGAAGGAAGGTGACGAGCCTAGACTTTTATTTTGTGTGTTTAGTTTGTTCTCCTTTGCCCGCACCTCCAGTTAACACGGTTGGCTACGTCGATTGGCTACGTGAGGTGCGAAAGAAGTTTCACATAAAACAAAGTTTGTTTTATTCAACCGAGCAAGACCCACTGAGCTGTATAGATCGTTTTTCGGTAAGCGAGCTGGCCACACAAATGATAGCACAACGAAGTTTCGTACCATCATGTGGACATTTAAAGCAGTCAAAAACTCTAAACGCATATATAAATGTGGAGGGGAAAACCCAACGTATATACAACATTCCTAACACGGATGGGCTCAGGGAAAGGAATTCCTGATTATGGGGGTAGCAGACGAGAATGAGTGACCTCCCACTGAACGACAGAAGGCCTTGGTGGCTATCTGGAGGGGAGAGTGAGTGGAGGGGAGTCGAGTGAGATGAGCAAGGCGAGAGGTAGGGAAGGGTGTAGTGCAGAGTGTATCTTAAAGACACAATTCAGGCACTTTCTTGAGCTGAAACTGCAACTGAATAGACAGCGACAAGCCCGCTCAACTAAATCCGTCAGGCACAAATGGCAGCAGCAAGCATTCATTGCTATACTTTACCGATGAGCCCTAACACCGATGAAACCAGTAGGGTATATATTGTTGCATGTCCGCTTCCTTAATTAAATAAAACATCACAATCTCAGGTCTTCTGAGCTCAGCTGTGGCCATCGCAAAGCTGCGTGCATGAAATGTGCGCAAGAGTTGTGATGTCATCTTAGTACGCGCAGCGCGCTGGGATTCCCTTTGACACCTTGCCCGTTCATCGACACCTTGCCGCGTGTATGTATTACTAGCTTCGCCTGGGACTTGGATTCACCACGCCCGGCCGCCTTTGTCTCCCCAGTGGCGATGTTCACACACCACACCAGTTACTCGTTTGAGGCTGAGTCGACCTGGGGGAGGGCCCAGGACTGGTTAAAATAATAAACTTGGGTGGCCGGGTTCGTAGCGCAGCGCGCTCACCACTACACTACAATGCGTTACGCTTCCACATGCGCAGGTCACATGACAGATTTGACGTCACAGCTCACTTGCCGTGCAAAAAAATATCTGCATTATTGAGCTCCCCCCCCCCCCAAAAGTGTATTTGTATAATTTTTGCATGGTGTACAATCTGGAAAGTACCCACATGGCAAATTTCAAGTTTGTTGCATGTCGTGAAGAACAAATGAAATGCCCTCCGTGGGTGGGCAGGAGCAGGTGATTGTGGGACAATTTACTCATCTCATTAAAACGTCCACCAATTGCGGAGTTAATATTAACGGGCAGCGACAAACGGCCAGTCGTGCTGACTCAGGATTCCAAACACAGTGGACATTCATTTACATAAATACTTCTACAGCTGAGTCACAACGACGGCTACAACCGCAGCTGGGTTTTTTTGTTCTTTCTGAAATAAGAACAATCTGTCGGGGAATTACTTTTCCGGGAAAAATTCATCAACAGACGCAAAGCACCACCGCCCCGCCCGCTGGGCAGTGAACAACGTAAGTTATAAAGACTGGCTTTAGTCAAAAAAACAATAACTACGTAGCACCGCAGAGCACTTGATTCAAATGCGCAAACTACTAAATTAACCCACCTGACCTGAGGCATGTTCTCACTCACACTGCAGCGCAACCTTCGATATCTCACTGAAAGCAGCAACTTGGATCTTCCCATGAGCTCTAAAAGAGTCTTCGTACTACTTAGGGACACAATTTGTTTTATACAGTAGTACTTTGCCGTAATTAATGTTTTGCTTTCTAATATATACGTGTAGAGTCAATGTTTCTCCCTGCTCAAGCGAGCAATGGTGGAGCACTCAACTCTGCTGCTGGCACTGAATCAGGGGGAACGAATTCCACATTACTCTGGCAGAGACCAGTTTGTCCGTGCGATGACAACGTGCGGCATCCCACAAAGTGTTACTGTACTCATTTTTATCGACCCCCAGAGGGATGATAGCCAGCGAACCGACTCCCAACAGGAAGTCTAACTCATACCCATCAGACCCACAGTCCAGCTCTCACACCACATTGCCACCTCGTGGGATATTAAAAAGCATTATTTTATTTATTACATGACTGTATCGGGTGGAGCATCGGCACAGTTTGGTTCGCATATGTCACTGTGTTCCCAGCCACCTGTGTTCAATCGCTGGAGCTTGCCTGGCGTCAGTGCCAAGCTATATCTCAACTGACCCTAGCATCATCTCTCTTTTAGAGGTGGCACAGATATTCATTTTGCGATATGCGCAATCAACTCCGGAACGGCATCCTGTTCGTGAGCAAATGATTCACGACACCCCCCCCCCCCCCCGATGCGTCTCGTCCCTGCCACCCCTTTCATTTGTGCTGGGCGCAACGCCGAAGCGCCTCTGATGGAATGCGGTGTCCAATGCGCGAGTGCTCGATCGGCCAAGGGTTTTAGCGCGGAGATAGAAAAATAACAAATAAAATAAACAATTGCAGTGATTCACAACGCATCGACTCATCGTCTTGTCCGGTTAATAACAAACAAACATAAAGCTGTGCCGTGTTTGTTGAAATTCTTGCACGGTCAACGATCCTGATGCATTATGTCCCCCCCACCCCCCCGCGTCCAGCGTGTCTCACCTCGGACGGACGCAGGAAGTTTGTGTCGCTGTGACGCGTTCGGTTTTAATGCTCAATCGAAGCGGGGGCCCTCTCAATTGTATGTTGTTTTTTTAACAAGAGAGCCACGCAGGATGGCTATGGGTGTTTATCCGGCTACTCTAAGGACGTTTTGATAAGTTGCTTTTAGAATAGGGGTTCCCCTTTTATCTGGCAACAAAACAGGTCTTAAGTTATTAAAACACCAAACTAAAACCCTTTACAAAGAATCATGTCTGCATTAACCACAATGCTTGTCGTCAGAATGCAAAAAAAAACACTGATAATATATGCATTGTCTTTGAAACTGATTGGTCCACACCAGAGACAGCTTTCTTTTGAGCCTCGTCTCAAACGGTGTTAGACCAGAGGACGCGTTCGGTTGTAATGCTTTTGGCGTCCTCTGGTCTAACACCGTCGCGACTTTGTAAAATAAAATTTGAAAAACACGTTTTAATTTCTGCACATCACAACTTGCACTCAAGAGCTTCCGTTTCATATATTTCATTTGTAGATACTGTGTTTTACAAATAAGATTTGGATACTGATATATATATACGATGCCTCACTGGATAAATAAACCACATGGCTGTGGGAGAAAACTTCAAGTGCAAAAATATCACGGAAACGTGCGCAACAGAAAATGAAGTCTTTGTTCACAGAACTTGTGACATTTCCGTCAATTTAGGCATGCACCATGAGCCGTTTGTTCACAATGTCGGAAACGCCACAATGATTGGGCAGGGGGGGCGGGGAAGAGAGCAGCGAGGCACTCGCACGACGCGCTGGTTACATCCCGTAAACGTGGAGTGACCGAATGGGCAGGATCGGGTTAAAAAAAAACTCCCGCAGAGAACTCGCCATCTGTTCTGTCAAGGTTTACTGCTTTGAACAACGTGGGACAGAAGAGTGAAAGTGTGTGACCTTTTTCGCAACAGCAGGGGGGAAAAAAAGACAAAATTATTTCGGTGAATCCGTGCCTTCGTATTTTCTCATAAAAAACAATGATGTTGTGGCACTGTGGTCAGAGCATCTGACGACTTACAATCAGAGAGCTCTGGGATGTGGCGGGGGAGGAGAGGAGGGGGGGGGTCGGCTCAGCCCAGCATCACTCCACGGTCGATATATTAGAGCACCAATTTGTATTCGATCAGTGGCGTCTGCCGCATCCACGTGAGCAAAGCTCGTCACCAACGGCGAGGTGCGTCGTCGAACAGCGACGGTCAGGGAGAGTTCGCCTCTTCGGACCACGTTGCCCCGGGTCGGATGCCCTCGGCCGATCGCCCCAGAGCACCTGGCACCACCATCCCCCCCGCACTACCGCGCTGCTGGAGCCGACTCCGGTGAGGGGGGGGGGGGGTGCGGACCTCAGTCGAGGTGGGTCCGCTGTTGAGGGCCCACGTCAAACACCTGGACTTGTGCTCAGCGTGGACCGCTACTCTCCGGGGGAGCGAAGGCGGCCGACGATGGAGGGGAAATTTGTTAGCAAAGCGAGCGGTTGTCGGGTCGTGCCGCGGCGCTGTTCGGCGCGACGTTCGCCGCTTCACTCCGCGCGCTGGGAGGCTCCTTCGAGAACCGAATTAATTTCGATGTACCGCGAAAACTCACGCAGTGGCGGTTGTCGTCCGCGGCGACGAGAAACTTTTCTCGGCTCGTGGAATGTGGGGTTTTTCGATCCGTGGCTTTCGGGCAACCGGTGGAGATAAGCATCGGCCCCCGTTGCCCGTTGCCCGTTGCTCGTTTGGGCAGGGAGACTCTTTGGATTTGAATACGATTGCGGAATGCAAAATGTTCGTTGGCTCCATGATGGAAGGGCAGTAGAACGGTCGATCACTTGGTTTGATGTCGGGTGACCGAGATGCTCCGAGGATGGTGGGGGACGCTGGTGTTTTCTGTGCATTTGTAGTTCCCAAGATCTGGCAAACAAAACAAAAACGCATTTCCAAGTGTGTCAGCGGTCTATGTACATGTGTTATTATAGAGGATTATGGGGTGATGATGTTGACGCTCAGTACAGTGGTCATTATTTAGTGAGCTCACACATCCCCGCCGTGTGAACTCTGGCGAACGTGGGATGTGATTATTATAATTAACATTTGAGCAAATACAGCCCTAGTAAATGGTACGTTTCACTGGGGCAAACAAAAAGGAGTTTTTTTTTTACATTTTGATCTTTTTTTACGGCAAACATTTAGTAACGGCATGACTCCTTGTCTGATTCACTTTCTAAAATATATTGGTATTTGGCAATGTAGGCTTGAAATCTCATTGAGCGATGATGGAAATACTGTTCTTTGTAGACCTCAAACAAGAGTGTGTGGTTAATTAAAACCACTAGGACCATCGCTAACCACCTTGATGAGAGTGTACAAAACATATAATAGAATGGGCTCCCCTCCACCCCAACAGTAACTCTGTTCGGCCGTGGGCTGTTGCCACCGAAACTAACTGGGTAACTGGTTGCACGGGATTTTCCATGTAACAAATAAGAATTGAATTAAATGGAAACTGGTGAAAGAAGTTCGGAATCGAGATACGATAAATAGCGACACCGAATATTTTGGTCTAACGGATACGGAAGACGGACACGGTTAATTTAAAATTGCTCTAACGTTGACATTTGTGCTGATATTAATGTAATTATTTTGTATAGTGAGAATAGCATGAACGTGACAGCTGTCTTACGTTCCGTTGGTCAAAGTGCAAAAAAACACTGATAATATATGCATTGTCCTTGAAACTGATTGGTCCACACCAGAGACAGCTTTCTTTTGAGCCTCGTCTCAAACTGGTGTTAGACCAGAGGACGCGTTCTACGAGTGTGAGTAAAAGTCAAAATGCCCCCGTCTCAAATGTACTATGGGGATAGCGGTCACCTCCATTGGCTCCATGTGACACGTGAAACGCACACAAAAGTTACCCCTGAAATATATACAAAAGAAATATTCAAATAACCAGACTACATTACTATGAAACTTCAGGTGCAAGCTTTATCGCAAGGAAGGTGCCCTTGATTCATTTTGATCGCCCTTCACATGTCTGGAGGTCAAACCAAATACGGCCCCATTTCCATTGGAACCAACACATCATTGGTGTCCTATTTGCAAGCTTGTCACCGCATCATCAGTTTGCTTTCATCAATTTATCCATTAAACCCTGCACACAATGACCCAACAATAGGTCCAGGATGTGGACTACTCTGAACAATATTCACTGAATGTCACTGGTGAAAATCCCACGTTGTTATGCTGTAACCACCATCACTGCGTGCGTCCATACCGATACAATTAATTGATCGTCGATTAAATCAATTCTTGTGTACACGATCAGTTGAATAGTGCATCACACGTAAAAGTAACAACTTTCCTGTGATTCATGCAAATTACACACGTTTGTAATTTTAGACTTACACAATGAGTGAAATGAAACTAGACGGAATGTGAATAAATGAACACAGTATGAATGAGACAGAAACATAATTAACTCTTGAATGGAACCGTAAATTTGCAGGGGGGGAGGAGCAGGGTGGGATATTCGTATCAAGTATTGAAAATCAGTGAAGTCATATCTGGTCAATTCAAGTAATTGCACCGATGTCACACTGCATCAAGCTGTAATTAAAACATAATTAAAGGATTGAAATGTCTAAAATTTATGTTTTAAAATGGCCACGGAGTAACAAAACTTTAATGCACCGGGAATGTCCTTCCAAAGGCAGCAGGGCATTAAAATAAAAAAATTCTACCCAAACATTTGAGCAAATGGAAGGCGGCATTATGCACTGCTGGTAGTAAATCTAGCACAGTGTTGTGCTTACTCAAAGTTTTAGTGGGGTTTCGGTGCGCAAGTGTGCAGCGGTCAAGTAATTTCTAAACTAAAACTAGAAACTATTTTACCCGGTAAGGCCCACTGAAGCTTTGATAGCCATTTTTTTAGAACCGACGCCTTCTACAAATGATAGCTCAACAAAGTGACTTATCACGTGGAAATGTATCGCAGCCAAATACTCTAAACGCATGTTTCTAAACGTGGAGAGAAACACCGGAGAACCTGGAGTAAGATCCAAGTGACAGCGAGAAGAGATAAAACATGCAAACTCCAAATATACAGCAGGTGTCAGGGTTGGCATTGAACCCACAACCTCCTGTATACCAGGCGAGGGAGTTGACATCTCGCCACCACAGTGCCCATTTATATATTTTGGCAAGCACGTCTGGCAGATTTAACAACAATAATACGAGTGACCGATGATAATAATTTACATTTTTAAGGGCCATTTCATCCGTAGATCTCAACGAGCCATGTATGGAAAGCAGAAAAATAAACAGAACCAGGGTAAATGGCCAAAACTCGGTATTTTTTTATTTAAAGAGTTTAGTTCCCAAGACAGACTTAAACAGCTCTAACAATTCCCGATCGTCTTATTACCAAATGCAAAGCGTTCCAACCCTTGGGAGCTGAACTGGCAAAATCACAATCACCCCCAAGAACAGAACCTTGACCTCCGAGTAAGGAAGAAGGCGATCCCAATTCCCCAGGGTCCTCGCTGGAGTGCAACACTTGGATCAGTTCCTGCAAATATTGTGGGGCTAACCCGTTGATTGTCCTTTCTATTCTCTCACCAAGGCTCAATACTACTGTATATCCAAGGATGGTTCGGTAATGGGACATTTTCCTTGATTATTTTGCATGGGGAAAGAAAATGTTTCCCCACCCTGTGTCAGGTCGTGTATGTTCCCCTAAAATAATTGTTCCACCACCAACGGATATTAATTTCCCCTAGAAACCGATATCCATTAACATGGTTTCTCGTTCTAACACATACACATTTCGTTGGGAGAGGGGGGGGGCACATAGTAATTCACTAAATAAATATTATGGGGAATTATTTTGTGTTTACACTTGAGAAGATGGCCACATACCACCTGTCTTTATCAACTCCCAAACGTGAACACAGGCAGCTTAGTAACCGTCTTGCTGTACTGCCACCTCCTGTACGTATGTGCGCATGTTGAACTTCTTTCGCAACATACGTAGCCAACCATGCTAATCGGGGGTGCGGGGTAAGGACAATCAATTAAACACAAAAAAGCAGTTCTAAAGAAATTAGTTTGTCAATCTAGATGATGTTTGAAAAGTGCCACACAGCTCCCAATGGCTTCATAATATCGGAAGGAAGAGCGTTCCAGACGGACCTGAAAGCGCGCGATGCAGTCAGTAGCCGTCTTCGTTCGATGGTGAGCCCAAAGCCGCCATGAAGTCTGCACAGGTCTCCCAATGCCCGCGTGCTAAGCTTCGGATTAAAGGCGTTCACCACCACCACCACGCCCGGCGTGCATGTTGGCTCTAAGTCATGTCCAAAATCTAGAAATGCTCATCGCAAACTCGGCTTTTACCGCTTTTACCGTGCGTGACTTCACGTGGCTCCCACAATTTATCAGCAGGGTCCTGCATTGGGGCTTGTGTTGTTGTTCTTGTTACCTTAAGACGTTTTCAGCCATTTAATAACGAGTGTTCATTATATACGTGGGAGGAAACCAGAGAACCCACGCGCGCGTGAGGGAGCAACACTCATCCCCGTACAGATGGAACCCGATAGCGATCAGTCCCACATGCTGTACCGCCTTCTCCTGGCGAGCCAGGATATGGCACCTCTTCGACGCCCACGCGAGAGGGAGTTTCACATCGTCCGTGTGCGACCCACCAATCCCTCGCTGCCTCCACAGCGGCGGATCACTGTATGGCTGTAAAGGCAACAGAGACGTGCGTACACGTGCGTACACGTGGGTACACGTGCGTACACGTGCGTACACGTGCGCTTGTGTGTGTGTGTGTGTACCAGCCCGGCTGGGCTCAGCAGAGTCCCTTTAGTTTCCCTGCCTACACGGTGCTGGGATACCGTCAGGAAATTTTTCATGTTTCACCGAAGCGAGCGGAGGCTTTCGCTTGCGCTCGGACACTGCAGCACGGCCGAGTTTAACAACGTCTGCCGTTTGGTGCTGGTGAATGCTTCGGAATGTGCGGCGTCACAGAGGCGGGCGTACACTTAACCGGGCTTTATGCGGCTCCCAACAACACGCTTTTGTTTTGTTGAGCCTAGAGGAAACACATTTGGATAGAAAAAAAAATAGAAAATCATGGCAAGTTTTACGTCTTTGTAATTGTGAAACAGAAGGCATTTGTGTTGGGTACATATGTTTATGTATATTTTTATGGCAAGTGTGGCCCGAATCCGAGCCGTGTCTGTACATGCAGACAGCCAGAATAACAGGTTTTAAATTCACTTCAGTAACTATATAACAGACGTAATCCGTTTACGTTTGCGCACCGGGTAAAAAGACGTGAACTTCATTAGTGCAGAGCCATAGTTCAGGGCACTGTGATAGAAACTTGCGGTGAGAAAGGCTCTATTGGCCACGGCATCGTACGGGAGTCTAAACTCTTTTAAAGAACATCATTATAGGCACTTTAATGTCCCGTGGACCTTGGCAAGCTGTTTGCCAAAGTACTGTACTCGGAAGTGACTTACACTTGGGGCATGCTCATGTTCTGTACGATATCAAATGAAGGCGCTAAAGTTTATGAAGGTATGCAGTGTCCAGTAGTGGGTGCGTGCATATTATTTGAGTGAGGCATTAAAACCGCATCTAGTACGGGCGACTGGACTCATAGTTGGACGGTTACGGGTTCAAATGTTGGGGCTTCACACAGCCAATGACTTCTCTGGGGTGGATGAATTGAGTACCACTTTGTATAAAGTAAAATTTGATCACGTGACGGTGGGGATCTCAACAGTAGTTCTGTAATGTAAACTTCCGCATGTCATTCTCTTATGTGGAGGTATAGGGCTACGCTCTGAGTTCTGGATGTACTTGTTGCTCGTCACAAGATATCGATATCACAATTGCAATACGAGTGAGTAAAGAAGTACAACAACAATGATACATGATCACCGTCTGGATGAAGGATTCCCCAAGTAAATATTACCAACTATCGCGGTCTTGCGATGCAACAATCCATCCATCGCCCCGTCTCTGCAGTGGTCGGTCATTTGGTCCGTGTCTGCACTTGTTGCAGTGCCGGATGATCCAAGTAGCACAAGTAGCTACAAATGCTACGGGCCCCCGCACTTTCTAGGGCCCCGCGCTAAATGCTTTCAAGCTATCAATTCCGGTTCAGTGATTCTGCACTTGCTCTGTTACTATAGTACTATACTGCCTTCAACTTTTATGAACGCCTGGGTGTTTACGTTTAGCGATTTGTCGTAGTATCTGGCTGTATAGCAAGTGAAAAAATGCAATAACTTTACTATGCAAGCAAAAAATGTATTTTAATATTTACGTTTTTCTAATTTAGGGCACCTTTAAAACAAATGCTAAAGGCCCCGCACTAGCTTAATACACCGGCCATCATCTCGGCCATCACCTCTACTTGCGACAAATCTTTCTCCCTCAAAATTATAATTACATTTACAGGCATTCCCTTGTTTTGCACGAACCTGCTGTCCGCGATTTTGGCTCTCCGCGAATCACATCTGGAAAGAGAGAGAGACAGAGATGAGATAAAGTAATGCGAGATAAAGTAATGCGAGATAAAGCGATGATATAAACTGATGAGATCAAGGTAAATCCATTCATACACTATTACTTCATAGTTTTATCTTCATTTTCATTTATTTGAAGTTTATTATAACCAATTTGATTGTTTTTGTGTTAGGATAATTGTCATGTATTTTTTCATGTATTTAATAACACGTTTACGTATTTTCTAAAAGGTAATTCATTAAAAAAGATAGACCACTATCATTATCCGCGAAATGCGCTATTCACGAACGTATCCGTCGCCGCGAATAGCGAGGGAAACGCTGTAAACGGTGTATCAAGTTGTTGTTGTTGGTACTCCCGTGCATTTGAATTACTACGACCGATTAAGCGCGAACATCCACAACCGAAACCACCAACGTGCTCCCTGCGCTCGGAGGGTGCTCGGAGGGGAGGGTGGTGGAGCAAAGCACTGGGCGACTAAAACGGCGTGGCCCCTTGCGGGGCGGGTGGGGGGGTCGGGACAGGGTGCAGGTGAGGGGGTGGGGGGGTGCAGGTGAGGGAGTGGGGGGGGCACTGACCGTGCCCCAGAGGTCGCAACCGGGTACCCGATACCCGTACCCTACCCGATACCCGGCTACCCGACGGGTACGGGTAGCCGTTTGCGACCCTGGTGCGGCCGGGTACGGGTAGGCCGTGAGTCACTGGTGAGTAACCGTTTGTCACTCATTTCGGGTAGGGAACGGATACCCATTTGCGACCCTGGTGCGGCCGGGTACGGGTAAGGAATCAAAACCCGTTTGCGACCTCTGCCGTGCCCTCAAGCCACGGAGGCTTCCAACCGCCGCTCCCCGCGCTGGCCTCACGCCAGGTGGGTTTTTAGCCGGCACGGATGAATCGTGGCGTCTTCTCTCAGTTGTTCGGCCGTCGCGTCTCGCACCCACCCCCCGCCCCCCCTACTCTCCAGGGTTCGGGCGCTAGAGCCGTCACCTGACAATTGAGAGCTTGATCTGGTCGGGGCCGCATTCGGAATTTGGACAAAGGCCATTGTGAGTGAGGGCTCACTCGCGCGTCCGCTTTTTGGTGTTTGTTCGAGAGGTCAGATAAGGGTTTAAAGCGCTCGGAATCCAGCATTGAAAGTATATCTGGACAGGAATTTGCACAAGATCAACTGTGGGAAGAAGAAAATTTAAATTTGTCCGTGAGAATTTCCAATCGTGATTTTAACTTGAGTACAGTGGATTTATATCAGGTGATGAAATTACATTATGTTTTTGAAAATATTATTATATTATTTATAATATACACTGTGGTCTAGTATATGTGCAATGTATTTGTGCCTTTCCCAAGTATGCTGTTGGGCGAGTTACCTCCGCTGACTGCCAGTCTGTGATTAGTCTCTAAAACCAAACCATCATCCCTTCTAGCCACGTGTCCAGTCCAAGGCCCCCATTACTTTTCTTAACAGTCAACGTGATGTCACTCACTTGCGTGTGTTCTCTAATGACATATTCCTGTTTCTGTCTCTCGGACAGCAATTTCAAGCAAGCGCCTCTCTGTCGAGGAAGCACATGTTTGGCAATGAGCTGTAAAACATTACAGCTTTGCGGGAAAACCTGAAGATAGTAATTATGGGAGTTAAAGTTCACAGGTTGGTCAAGTTTGCGAACACAGTAGGGGGGGGGATTGCTATAGCATGTGGGAAACAACAAAATGGTCCCATGTAATCTTCAAAGGAATCTTAGTTAATGGGGGAGGGGGGGGGTTAGGGACATGGGATGGATTTTGGGAGGCTGCAGAATATTCGTTTAAGAAACGAACACCATGGATGAGGGTAACATCGACAGAGGAAAACATGAGTGGGAATATAACTGCGATGGTTGGGAACATGATGAGATCATGAGACTACATCGAATAAAATGTGCAGACCATGTCAGCTGAGGGTAAGTGGACGCAGAGCGATTAAAGAAGACATGGCAGTGAGAAATTGTCAACAAGGGCATGAGACCATGCGGTGTTACTGTGGGGATGGGCGATGGACAAGCGACTTTGTAGAGAGAGAGTGAGAGAGGATTTAGGAAAGCAGACCCCACCGGGTGGGACGAACATTCAGAAGATGGCCACAGGGCATCCAATAAAGTGGTCTTGGGGAAAGGAAAAAAACCCGAATTGTTTCAGAAACAAGAATGTGTCCGGGAGGATGGCCACCACGGAGATGGAGCGGCGAGATCAATTTGTGTGCACAAGATTGAGATGGATTGTGGCATCGCGGCGCTCCGTGCATAGACAATGGTGAGGTCTTCAGCCGACACCAGTGCCGTAATTAAGCTTGTGTAGCATATGTTATGAAGGGGCCCTAATTAAAAAAAATTAAACCACGTAAATATACATAAGTATTAAAATATTATTAAAACACAATTTTTTTTACTTGCTTAGTAAAATAATTGTATTTTTTCATTTGCTATACAGCCAGATGATACGACAAATCGCTAACCTTAAACACACAGTCGTTCATAAAAGTCGAAGGCAGTATAGTACTATAGTAATAGAGCAAGTGCAGAATCACTGAAACGGAATTGATAGCTTGAAAGCATTTAGCGCGGGGCCCTTGAAAGTGCGGGGTCCGTAGCTACTACATATGTAGCTACTTTTGCTACTATGATAATCCGGCACTGGCCGACAGTGGATAAAAAAGAGATGAAGACGATGCTCCGTGTATATGTGTATGTGTACCTTATTATATCGATCGTGATTTATTTGATGCCTCTGACCAAATCACCCGGAATGCGTCCAGAGCTAAGCAGCGTTGAGCCTGGATACTGCCGGGATGGGCGACCGCCAATACCCAAACATATCTTATAGGACGCGGTGGGTATGTAGCAAGGGAGTGCAACAAAATCATTGTTGTACAGTACTCCTAGTCTCCCAAATCTATGCTCCCCACCTTCACCAACCTGCTCTGACCAGCTGAAGTATGGTCAAATTAACCCCCACGACCCGCAACGGTGTAGAGCGGCCCTCATCCAGCAGTGGGTTGACGAACAGGCTGTACGAAGCAGCGTACGTGGCAAACGCCGTTATCCCCCATATACTTAAAAACAACCTGGCCGTCAGTGGCAATACAATCTTAAACATTTTTGCAAAGTTTAGAAAAAACGAAAGAATCTATTTTTCCAAGGCTTAACATTTTACGGAGCGCGCCTGGTTAACCCGCGTGGCTTGGCGGAGTCAAAGACTTTGTTTCTTGGCGCGCGAGAAGAATCTCGGCATTTGAACGTTCTAATGTCGCTCATTCCTCACGTGCTTCCAATTAGCGCGCTTCTCTCTTGCCGCGTCACGCGTTGCCATTGCCGAATGGGGCACACGCGTGTCAGTCAGTCCGTGCGTGCGTGCGAGCTCACACGGCGGAACAGAACCACGGTGACCGGGTAATGATAGCAACGTGTTGCCGATCTGTGAGATTCTCAGGGTCATTCGTTTTTGTCTTGCTTTAAGTCCTTTCCGGTTTCCTTTTGGAGATGATTGGGGCCCGATTGAGAACTCTCCACCGCCCCCCCCCCCCCTCCTTATGTTTTCGAGATCATTCGATACCGCTCACAGCCATTTGGACAATCTACGTGAATAATTAGTGGCAAATAAACGATGGTCGATAATCATTCGCACGAAGAGAGAGAGCGAGCGAGCGCCACGCGGCAGATGCACGGCCCACACCTCGTGCGCAAAGGAAGAATAAAAATGTGTCCCTGACTCTGAATGGGGATGCACATTTCAAACGACAGTATTAAAACAAAAATACTAAACTATAAAATTTTTATTTTACTTTACCAAGTAAGGCCCGCTGAGCTATATAGCTCTATTTGCGGAAGTGACCTGGCCACAAATGATAGTTCAACAAAGTGGCTTCTTGTCACGTGCAAATGTATAGCAGCCGAACGCTGCAAACGCGTGATGGTGATACTACATTTGGAGGGAAGAACCAGAGGACATGGAGAAAAATCCACGCGACCGCGGAGAGAGAGAGAAACATGCACACTCCAAATGTGCAGGCGTCATGGTCGGGATTGAACCGACGACCTCCTGTACACCAGGCGCGGTAGTTAACATCTCACCACCGCGGTGCCTCAAAACAGTGGACCTCGCCCTGTAATCAATGCCCTCTAAGATCTTTCAACGGAGGAATTTAGCTCAAGTGCACTCGGCTACCGGGACACAAACAACCGGCTCAATAGCTTGGACTCAAATATTTTAATTGCTAATCGACCTCATTTAGCCACACATAAGATAGAGAAGTGCCTAACCTGTACGCATGCATCTATGTCCGGAGAAATTCCTCATAGACCGCTCCAGCAATGTCAGCGAATGAGGAGTCATTTGAAATCAGATTCTCTATAGTTTATGTGAACCAAGTCAAACTTATTAGAAAATATTACCCTGATAATTTGACTATTGACCACGGCACTAGCTAATCCGACCAACATATCGTATACAATAGCCTGACAAATGAAGATATCCCTCCCCGAAGCCCCATTTCAACAATCGTGCAACGGTTAGGCGTGTGCTGCTGAGGCAGTATGTGTTTTTGTGTGCGTCTATGGGGACGGCACTGAATTTCAACAGGCTTTCCCACATGTCCATCTGGTGCTCGGCGAGCTGCATTGGCTTCGAGTTGCCGAACGAAGGCGTTTTAAGGTGGCACTCGTTACACACAGAGTGCTCGCCACAAATTAACGACCATACCTTGCTGATCTAGTCAAGGAAAACAAACCATCGCGCAAACTCTGGTCATCCTCGCAGTGGCTTTTGGCTGCCCACCGAACAAAGACGGTCACTGCATCGCGCGCTTACAGATGCGCTTCTACGGCCGTCTGGAACGCTCTTCCTTTCGATATTAGGAAGCCACTGGAGCTATGCACTTTTAAATCTAAATTGTAAAGTAATTTGTTACCAGCTGCTTTTTGTGCTTAGTTTTTTTGTCCTTCTCCCTCACCTCCGA